ACAAAACAAACGCATGCAAACAATCAGCTGATCCTCTGGATTTTTGGACGACGCCTCTCAGTGGTTGCATTTAGCAAAACCATTTTGGCGAGAAAGCAAAACTGTCCAATCTATACTCTGTAATCTGTGAATTTAAGTTCCGCAGACTTTCCATAAAGACAGCGACCAATCTAAGTTCCAATGTGTTTTGAGTGTAGTAAGCTTGAATTGCCGTAGGGTCGCTGTGGCGTTACGTGCGCGCCTCAATGTCCCTATCCGGGTACATGCCGCCCTTGTGCGACCCTCAAGACGGGCATCTGCTCCTGGACGGCGGATACACCAACAATTTGCCAGGTATTTTATCGTTTTGCATGCTTCCATTAAATCCCTAGATTTAGACCCACGATAGACATCTGACCGTTCTAACGAGCACAAGGGAAGAGTTTCTATTTTTTTGAGTCAAGGGGGTGTTGTTGAAAGAAATGTCAGGTCCTGTTTGTTTTCCTCTTTCTGTAAAAAGCACGGTGTCGGTTTGCGGCGTTGGCAAAAGATTATTGTTAACAAAATCTGTAACATCCTCCATAGATAACTAACATCGTGTTTGAGCGAACGGCCCAGATGAGAGTGTTTTGAGCCAAAGGTAAGAACTTGCTATGAACTATCTATTATCAGAGATTGGTTGAGAGATCGCCGATCCCGTGCTAAAAAAGTGTACCGGAATCTACCATTGCGCCACTGCGGCGCGCACCCCGAACTATGACTACGTTGACGCAGCGTAGGAGAGGTAAATAGTGGGGATTGTGCGCATCTTACATTACCGGTTAAGCCTGTCGGGCTTTGCATGAGTTTTCTGACGAGCGCAGTTCGGGCAAAATCGTAAGATTTCGCATATGTGAGTATAAATTGTGAATGTTGTATCAACTAAGCACATTTATACGCGGTAATTTATTCATCGTAACTATACAACTGTTAATACTCGCCAGAATTCGATTAAAGTTAAAAAGAAAAAACTATTGGCTTGCTGATAACGTTGCTATGAACGAAAATAATTTGGAGAATTCCATCATTTTTCGCTGATATCCCACAAAGACTGTCTTTCATTTATAGACTTATTAGTTGTTCAACATGCATATCAATTTGGTGTCACAAAAATTTTCGCTTTTCAGTCAGAAACACTGCGAAAAAATCCCCATTTACATCCCATAGTTCAAATACTCTTTTGATATTTTTGTCCTCTTTATAACATTTTGAACCAGTTATAGTTTTTGCGCAAAAAAGTGATTTCTGTTCTCTTGGCAACTGAAAATTTTAGACATTCATTAAGTTTTTCATTAACAAAACATTCGTCAGGGCCAAATGTTGTTAAAAACTTGCTGTTTCTTTTCGTGAGATTTTTTATGATCGCAATTTGGACGAACCCGCTTCCAAAAGACGATCGGGCCTAAAACTTTGGCCATTTCGGTCAGTTAAAAAATATAAAACGCTTAACAGTTAATTTATTATAAAAACACATTATCACTTACTACGACTGTTGCAGTTAATGTCTGAAATTGATAAATAGCAAAAAAAACAGATCATTTTTTGGCGCAAAAACTATGAATGCTACAAGATTTTATAGAGCCTAAAAATGTTTCAAATTAATTAGTGCATCAACTCAAAAAATCAATGGATTGAGATTCAAAAGCCGTAAGAAATATCGAGAAAAACAAGGTATACCTGTTTCGAAGAAAAAAATGGGTCTATCGAACTGCTTGATCATATCCCTAATTTTGGCAACACCGTTAAATTTGTACTCATTATAAAAGTTAGTCTTGACCGTACCTCTACAATAACAAGATTTCAGATAAATTTCCATTTAAAAAAGACGAGTATCTATGAGCTACTTTTGCTGCAAAAATTTCAAGAACGGCTAATAAACGGTGTAATAACCAAGAATAAAATTTATTTTTCAACTTGTCACCCATAATTCCATAAGGAAGCCAGATCGGATTTTTTTTTAAATGAAGTACTGCCCTTATTTTCACGTTTTATGTCTAATAAACTAAGAAAATTCAACTAGAAATAAATGTATGATTAGACATTTCTAATTTTCTTTAATTCCTTGTTTTTACTAATAATATTTTTCCTATATAGCTGTTTTGTAACGCTGTTTGCTCGCCCGTCTTACCAAAAATTTTAACTATTAATAAAAACTTTACAGCATGCATTCTACGTTCATAACATATGCTGTCTTGACCGAACCAATCTGGGAATCTTTCACGAGTCTGTTTCAAAAATGTTTAATAAATGAAACAACAATTTTCTTTGATGCCATACACTTTCATGGTACATGTCAGATGCTTCTAATTGCCAATTTACTACATTAGCGAAAAATTCTGTTTGTCTCGTCAAGTATATGAATTCTGGCGTGTCCGGATTCAAATGCGAATACTCTCTGTATTTAATATATTCTTCATTATCTGTAGTTGCCGAGTTGATATCTTTTATCAAAACCTTTTTACATTCAAGACAGGAACATTTGCTTAAACATTTTTTAGCTATTTAACCAGCAAAGAAAGTTATCGAATTTGATTCAAACATAGCGCCATTGCAGGCTTCCCACTGGAACCTACGTTAATATACAAATTCATTGAATCAGCAGCTCGAATGATTTCCTGAATGCCCTTCAATTCCTTTGATCCGTCCTCAAGTAAATCTAAGTCGTGGGCTAATTTTTGCTGGATTTTCCAAATAACAAATATCTTCACTACTTGTTCTATTAAAGAACGCGAATCTTGTCACAACGTTTCCTTTCTTACTGCTATGAATAAATTCTGTTGATAAAATATGACGAAATGCTAATCGATGCATTCTACAGGTGCATTAAATCCACCTCTTCCACGTACTTTTGCATTGATATGTTCGACCGAATCGTTATTGTAAAGGCCTGTTGCTCACTCAAAATTTGGAAAATCTAATTTAAAATCATCATAAAGACTAAGCAAAGCAATAAATAATTGAAACATTATTTTCTATATGTTGCGCGACCCATTGTTTAGACTTTA